CAGATGTATGCTTTAAGGTAATTGAAAATATTTTACATATTATTACATGATTATTGATTTTTATTAATTTAATTATGATGCTAATTGCTTACTATGACAGAAAGAGTTGTAGCCAAGGAGAAGGAAAAGAAGAGGTAGAAAAAAAAGAGAAATGGTGGGATGACCCGTGGCCTATTCAAGAATTTTGAATTGGGGGGGAGAGGGGTGGTGTGTATTTTATTATATATGAAGGGGACTACCACAGACCCATCATGGTGGGGGGTCTGGCTATGAAATCTTATGTTGCTGGTATGCCTTGTTAACTGGAAGTTTCAATGTAATTTTCTTTGTTCCCCGCCACCAAATGCTCAACAGCCTTTAGTTTACCAAGAAATTGAACATGGCGAAATGGAAAGCACCTTCTTTTCTCAATTCGTACTACTTACAGTCAATCACTATGGCTGCGCAATCGTTTTCACCTTGAAGCAAATACATATTTTTCAAGAAATACCAAATATATTAATATTTTCTACCAAAGAAAAGTTTCAAATTTAATCAAACATTTACATGAGCTTTAAAAGTATGGTGTATTTTAACTTGAATTTTCTATAAATTGGATAAAACTCAATAATTCTAATTTTAACAGATGTTAATTAAGGAATGATTGAGGATTTTTAGGGTTAACGATGGTTAACTATTCAAAAATTCAATCCAAAGTCAAAGTAATTTTCAGTTTTATTTTCCGCCTCAGCTTCATATTTGAAGCAGTCAATCTTTAGACAAAATTGTAATCAACACATAACTAATTGCAACAGAAATTAAAGTAGTTTTCAGTTTTATTTTCCGCCTCAGCTTCATAGTTGAAGCAGTCAATCTTTAGACAAAATTGTAATCAACACATAACTAATTGCAACAGAAATTTTTTTCAGAATCTGTTCTTGAAATGTACACATATACATACTAAAAGTCTAAAAAAATCCAATGGGTTAAAATCAAATGGTTTATCGCAAAACTGCTGTGTTGAAGCGTATAAAAGCCTGCTGTTGCCAAGTACTTGCTAATCCAAAAAATTGTTAATAATAAGGTAGATTGGCGTGGAACACATTGGTTTGTTGAGTCAAATGAATCTGTTGCCAGGTGATCTTCTAAATAATACCTCCATGGTTGAAGCAAGAGTTGTTAGTAACAGAGGGGGAAGAAAAGAGTTGCTAATAACAGAGAGAGTGGAAAAGAGTTGTTTATTATAGAGGTGGTGGAAAACAGTTGTTAATAACAGAGGGGGTGGAATAGAGTTGTTCATAACAGAGGGGGTTGAAAAGAGTTGTTGACGTAGTGGAAAAGCATTGCTAATAACAGAGGGGTGGAAAAGAGTTGTTTATTACAGAGGGGAGTGGAAAAGAGTTGTTCATAACAGAGGGGGTTGAAAAGAGTTGTTGATGTAGTGGAAAAACATTGCTAATAACAGAGGGGTGGAAAAGAGTTGTTTATTACAGAGGGGAGTGGAAAAGAGTTGTTGACGGAGTGGAAAAGCATTGCTAATAACGGAGGGGTGGAAAAGAGTTGTTCATAACAGAGGGGAGTGGAAAAGAGTTGTTGACGGAGTGGAAAAGCATTGCTAATAACGGAGGGGTGGAAAAGAGTTGTTCATAACAGAGGGGAGTGGAAAAGAGTTGATAATAACAGAGCTGGGGTTGGGGGAGGTGGAAAAGACTTTTTATTGCGTGATTGATTGAATGATTGAAATAATTTTAATTTGTTTTTGTACAGGTGAGCGAGAGCTTAGCTTCTAAACCAGGAAGCAATTCTGAAGACACTTACTGTAAAGATGAAGTAAAAACCAAAGGTATAAATGAATTATTAATTAATTAATAATTAATTAAATATTTTACAATGATTAGGAAACAATTTGTTATGAAAGAGACGCATTAGATATTGTTATATCAATTTAGTATTGGGGAAAAGGTATCCCAAATACATTGTTGCGTGGCTGAATTAGGTGCAACCTTTAGTTTTTATTTAAGCGAGAGATTTAATTTTAATTATTATTTTGTATTTTTTTAGATGCCTTTAATATTGGTGCAGTGTGCGCTCAAAAGAAACGAAAGCATTCTGACCCCACTACTGGTATGTCTAATTTCAGTGTTCTTATAAATGCTTTTATACATAATGATTATACCATAATAACTGAGAAGTCGCACGACATTATAGTATCCGTCCCAGGGAACAGATTGTTCATAAGGTATTTGATCCGATGACTGGTGTGATAATGTGAAGCACTTTAATACGTTCGCTGCCAGGGACTTGCATTCACGTCCACACCTCTCCAACATTCCACTATTGTATTGCACGTAAACGGTAAACTCTCTGGCAGTGGTCTAGGAACTCAGAATTAGTGATTTCACAACAGTTGAATGAAATGTTTTTCATATGGTGGCGCCCTTGATAACATGGTGTATGGGATGAAAGTAGGAGAAAATTCTTGGCAGTTAATGTGTTAAAACCCTTGGAATGAAAACATTCTTTATTTTCATTTGTAGGTACAGAGTTGAAACCATGTGAACCAAGGTTGATTGCACCGCACCTTCTAACTCGAAGCGACTACGAATGTAGCCTTTGTTTTCGGCTGCTTCACATATTTTAAATGTGTTGGTAGAATCATTATGTTCTTAAGAATTTATTTTTAAAATGCTATGCCCAACATTTAATTACAAAGACACTATTACAGTATATCAAGTTGCATACTTATTTTAAAAATTCAATTTGTTATTAGGTTTATTTATTAAAGTTAATACCAGGTTAATTTATTAGAGGAGCGAAATTATACTACATGAATCAAACCAAAGACAATATTTTTATTTCTTTTACAGTATTTAGCAAGCAAGAAATTTTCAGTCAATGTTCTGATACAAAAGATAATAAAACAGTACTTTGAGAAAGAGTTTCATGAACGAGATGAGATCCATGCGGAAGAAATGGAAGAATTACGGGGGTAAGAATCTTGATGTTTAATTAAAAACAACCTACAGTTTTGTTCATTTCTGCTAGAATATATATTTTTGAATTGATGATTTATTCAGTCTTCTTCATATTTCAACAAATAATAATGTGATTTAGTTCTTTTAATGTATGTTTCATTGAAAAAAAAGAATGATACAAAACAATTTTAGCATAACTTATTTTACATATTGATTTTTCTCTTATACAGGGCATCTAAAGGCCATGGAGAGTCCTTGATCCCACTATTCATTTGTACGATTGCATTTCCCACAATCCCCTGCCCATTGCACATCTTTGAGCCTCGATATAGGTTGATGATTCGTCAGTGTATTGAGTCTGGGTCTAGGCAATTTGGAATGTGTGTTCCATCAGAACAAAATGAGTGAGTACTGAGTTTTTATCTTAGAGAATGAAAAATTACATGGGAGATTTTTTACAACACAACACTGGTAACTAGATTCTGAAGAAGCACCAGCCAGGTGCCTTCGCTAGAATTGAAGAAGCCCCAGCAGAATGCCTTCGGTAGAACCCAAAGAACCCTCAGCCAAGTGCCTTCGCTAAACCTGAACAACACTAGAAATTGCAAATAAAAGATATATTACAAAATACCAGCCAATATGTGATGCCAGGCCATGATAGAGCAATTTTAAATATGAAAAAATATATATATTAGTAATAAATAAACATGACTGTTAAGTTGAAAAACAAGTACTTTATTCGATAAAGATAATGTGATAAAAAAAATATATATTATAATATTTAAAACTAAGTTTAATTTTCCATTTCTTTTAGATTTTCTGATTATGGTTGCATGCTGAAAATTAAAGAAGTGCAAACATTGCCAGATGGAAGGTCAATCATTACAACTGTAGGGGGGAAGCGATTCAAAGTGTTGGGTCGAGGAATGCGTGAAGGGTACAACACAGCCAATGTCAGGTTTATTGAAGATGACACTGTACAAGGTATGTAGGTTTACATTCAAATAAACTTCTCATGACTAAATAACTGAGCTCCTTAATCCTCAATTTAAAGAGACTTCGTCATTGCACCATTTATCGTATCTGAAGTGTTGATGATGGTTCATTTTTGGATGAATACATTTTACAGTGACCTGTGACATTCATAATATATAATAATAACGTTATTTGAAAACTACACTATTAAATCAGTGGCACACGTCATGTCACAATAAAACTATAAAACCACAGACAAAAAAAGATGCAGGTATACAGAAATAAGAGAAAGCTTAAAAGACAATTCAATAAAATGTACAAAGAAATTTAAAATCAATTAATTTTAAACTAAGCATTTAACACCATTCAAATTTTTAAAAATACAAGTAAAACAGGAACAGGTAAACTGTGCAAAAAGATTAAAATTTGATTAAGACCACTTTAAAAATTATTATAAACTGTACATTAAATTGATAAAATGCGCTGCTATCCACATCATTTATTTTGTCCAATATACGTTTAAGAAACATAAAAAAAAAATTGTCTTTTGCACACTAAAGATTTTTTAAGAAAAAAATATGAAACATCAAGAAAATGTATTAAATTTATTAAATAATAAACATTTAGAAAGATTATATATTATAGGGTGTTTAAAATGGTTTGAATTTGCTAAGAATAAGACTTAAGATTAAAATCATGCAATGCTGTATATTCTGACTCAAATTGTTCTTAAAAGTAGGTTATGTGATCGCCACACTCTTAATATAGGCTTTGCAGTACTTATCCAATGTTACCCAAGTTTGACCATTATATAACATTCACAATCCTGTTGTGTTTTAATTTGAGAATACATTTTAAATGAAGACTTTCTAATTATTTGCTCCTTCATTTCCTCAGCATTATGTTCTCATTTGTTCATACGTAGCTTATCCAACTTTTTATCAATTTCTTTCTTGTAGAGGATGACATTAATCAACTGAACACATTACATCAGTCGGTATACAGTGAAGCTTCGTCATGGTTCAATGCCCTTAGGTCCGTCTTTCGTTCACGGATCTCTAAACACTACGGAGGAATGCCAGTGTTACCGGAAAACCCGCTAGAATCACCTGATGGCCCCGGATGGACTTGGTGGTTGCTAGCCGTCCTTCCTGTAGCCCCAAGAGCACAACTAGAATGCATGTCAATGACAAGCCTTAGGGAACGTCTGTTGTTCCCACGAAGATGCCTGCGAGCAGCGTCAGAGTCGTAGATCTGTATATTTGTAAAATATTATCTAATAATGTCCATACGGGTTTAAGCGTCTACAGTATTTAAACTATCAGCAGTATTTCAAAATATGTGGAACATTGCCCAAGTAAAAAATTGATAGGTACATACTAACTGTGGTTGTATCTGCTTTACATTTATTTAATTTAAATCCACTATTAGTAAAATTCACACCGGAGTATGTGTCCTTTTCATGACAATGTAGAAGGCTTCCTTTAGGTTTTGAGGGGTTCTGTATTGGTTAACCAAATAATGGCATAAAAAATGTTATGGAGACTTTTTGATATTTGCTAAAATTTGTTTAAATATTTGTCTTCTTTGTTTTATCCAAGTTTTATTTTTGTGGACATTTATATTTATTGGCCTTTTATTTTGTGATCACTACATTACATTTTTATTCTTGTGTTTTATCTGCACTTATTGTTTTCTTTTTCATTAATTCAAAAAAAGAAATTTGTAGGTCTGATTTTATTCGTCTCAAATTTTGTGGCTCTTTGTTTATTGATTTTATGTTTATTGATTACTAATCAGCTTAATGAGATTACAATTATTAACGATGGAAATCATGTAATGACAATAAAGACATGTGTAGGATCAATGTTTATTGATTAGCAATCATCTTAATGAGATTACATTGATTAACGATAATGAATACAATAAAGACGTGTAGGAACAATGTTTATTGATTAGCAATCATCTTAATGAGATTACATTGATTAACTATAATGAATACAATAAAGACATGTGTAGGATCAATGTTTATTGATTAGCAATCATCTTAATGAGATTACATTGATTAACGATAATGAATACAATAAAGACATGTGTAGGATCAATGTTATTTTTTATTGACACACTGCAAAGGTCCATTAAAATTAAATATTTTCTAATATTTAAAACGTTACATGAAATGCAGTATAGCCTCATGATTTTTATGACCACTCTGTGGTTAAATTTAAATATTACTTTGTTAATAGATAGTATTGTAGAAATGTGAATAATAAATAATGTTTAACAATATACTTCATAAATAGTTTTAGTTTATCCTACAAACAAAACAATACCATCTTTTAGATATTCTGTCTGTGTGTATTAGCAAATAAAACAATATACTTTATAATTAGCTCTTGTAAGGAAGTGTTCCAATGTACTATATAGCCTGTTGCATTTTATTTTGTCTTCTTTTGTATTGAGCATTGGTCCTGGGCATTGGTCCAGGACATCGGTCCTGACATTCCTCGGCGTATGTCTTGGGGGCATTGGTCCTCGCATCAGTCCTCAGCATCTGTCCTGAGTCCAGACTATTGGTTATGGGCATTGGTCCTCGCATCAGTTCTGGGCAATGGTTTAGGCATCAGTCCTGGGTATTTGTCTTTACAAGGGCGTCGATACGTGCTTGAAAGTGGGTGGGTGCGCTTAAGACCCTCGGTCGGCTCCGTGGGTCGAAGCCCCTGAAAATTCGGCGTTCCAGCCTTTTATAAGTATGTCATCTAATTGTTTTAAGGCAGCAGCATAATAATTTACTATTAACCTTATTTCCACACTACGTCTACGTCAAAAAAAGTGTTTTGTATTCATAATCAAAAACCCACTTATTTTGTGCAAACTAACGTTTATATAAATTACGATTTGTTTTATATTAGTACGTAAATGTACTTGCTTTAAAAAGTAGGATTTTAACTATAGACGAGTGGTGAATAGTGGGGGTCGTGTCCTCCTCTCGACCACCGATCAATGCCCATGGGTCCAAGTATCAATGCTAGGCATCAGTCTTGATTTTGTTTTGATTGTGCATTTGGTTCATGTTTGATGAGAGAGTAGTGACATTTTAAACAAGCAAAAATAAAATAGCTGCCTATCATTCTCGAAACTCGACAGATAAATTATACCGATTCTGTTTACTTTAGATCCTAAAGTAACACAGTCAATCAATAAGGAATTATTCGTTTAGTTAAAGTCTGTAAATCCACAGACACTCCATTGTTCCAATCTGTGCATCCAGTAAGTGTCATTTGAATTGTTTTTTTAATTTTAATTTTAACATTAACAAACCCTAATTTTCTAAACCTTGAAGCGACTGACTTGGTTATTTTTTTTTAAATATGTACAAATATAAACAGCTCCATGTAAATCACTACTCGAATAATTACATTTAGTAAAGGTCTCTTTGAATGTTTTATAACGTAAGCAAATGATCATAAAATACTGAAACCCCAGTTTAAAACCAACAATGATCGAACTTAGCTATACTGCAGTTATAGAGGGCAGCAGACAGGTTTTATGAATGTTAGAACCCCGAATTGATGCCCAGTGGGCTTTATCTCGTGATGAAGCCGATGTCGAATATTGAAGCCCCCCCTCTTTAGTTTGGAAAATTAGCCTCAAAAAGAAGCCCATCCCATGGGCTTCTTTTCAAGATAACACAGGCTTCTTTTCGAGATCGTACAGTATATACACTGTACATGAATTTCAAAAAACAAAATAAATTAAAAAGAAGCTTGGTTTATACAGTAGTTAAATACACTCCATGATGCAGATTGATTTCTTTTATAATATGATAATAGCATTGCATTGTATGCCCATCTTAAAAAAAAAAAAAAAAAAAAAAAAAAGGAAAAGAAGACGCCCAGGGCTTCAATTTGAGGTTTCACTGTATTTGACACTAGTTTTTGAATGATGTCCGATACCGTTTTATTCCTGGCTCGTGGCGAGTACCTTTCTGCTATTCTCTGTATCCGCCACATGCTCTTTGAAGAAGTAAAGTTAAAAGGCTTGTAAGAAGTAGGCCTAATATAGTCCCATTGTATCAGGGTGATGATTATAACATAAATGTTCGTAAATGGCCAAGAAAAAATTGTGTTGACCACGTTTTGGCAAAATTCAAAAGATGGGTAGGCCTGCAAAATAGGCTAGCCTTGGCCCCCTAGCATATGGCATAGCCAAGGCTATTCCAGCTTTATTTGCTCGTAATAAAAATAATAATAAAGCAAAATATCGACCCTGAATTTTGTAAAATTTGAGTCGGTCGGGCGTGGCCAACATAATAATTTTCTTTTTTGGCCTAATATTAGATTTATTATGCCTCATTTACAAAAGTACGGATATTTATGGGTCATATGTTGCAATGCTATTATCGCAATTAGGCCTACTCTATTAAACAGTCGTATTTATTTCAATCGACCGGCTTGATTTAAAACAAGGAAAATTAAAATTTTTAATTACTGTTATGAAACTAATTTTTAAAATATTGAACAAAATAAATACTGTAATGAATAATGATAACATACTAACCAAAACGACTAATCAAATTTGGGAGATAGGCCTATTTAATTATTGCTTTAAAAGTAAATTTCTACTCTGTTGTATTCTGAATTATACTTCTGGTCTTTGCTCGTTAAAAAGTTGATAAATACGTGGAAAATTGACCAATAGTCTCATCAATTAATGTAGTTACGACTCATCAGAAATTTTATTTTTTAGGACCACGATAATTATCTAATACTCTGATACACCTAACTTGGTAGCAACAGTAAATAAAAAATAATAGATAAAAAAACACAGAAAGACATCTTTTGACTATAGCCGCTCTGTGCAGACAACTATTGTCCAATCAGAAAAGAGTATTTGTTCGTTGCATGCGCCGAGTTTTGTGTTCATATTATATAAATATTATTTTGTGAAAGAATATTCTCAAAACCCATGAGCAAAAGGCCGCAGGACGAGTAAATGAAGATTAAATTGAACGGCAAACACACGCAGTAGGTTATTTGAAGGGTATAGACTTTGATTATGACTTATACTGTATTTCCAATCATTAGTATGGCCTAGAAGTAGGCCTAGGCCGTCTCTACTAAATAGGCCTAGGCGTACTAGTAGGAGCAAGCGTAGACTGCACCTAGGTGTAGGCCTTGGCGGCAGGACTTGGGTGCCCTAGCTAGAAAGGATTGGTTTACTGTTATAGGCCTAAGTCTATGTAGTATGTATTATCGTGCTTAAAATCAGTGACATTATTTTTGTGCGGTTGCCGTTTCGAAATCCTAAATCCATGATTGTGGAAATGTGAATTCATTAGTTATCAGTTTTATTAATTATTATTTATAGTACTACAGCTTTGGCTTGGTCTGAAATCCAGTTCCTGTCCATTGTTGATTATTTTTGATCTTCATTTTAAAGTGTTCTATTTAATTTTGTGGTTGACAAAATTTTATATTTATCTTTAAAAGTTAAGCTGCGACCATGGAGGAATAAATAATGAATGGAAATAATAAATGGAAGTATATTTGTCCGTTGATGCCTGCCGATTTTAGCTTCCGATCCCCTTCCGAGAGATCTGGACTTGATTTGGATCTGGAAAATTATTTATTCCTCCATGCTGCGACCTACAAGCTTTTCTAGCTTAACCACAGCTCCACTATTAAAGAAAAGTGCCTGGGAGTTGGATTTTCGCCTGTATCCTGGTAGGTCTCTGGTCTGTTGTATGATACTCACCTTGCAGTTTTGATTCCCGCCAGAGACACTTTTTTTTCATATAACTGAAATAAAGGAACTCTTCATTGATGGGCTATGATTGATACGATTATATATATATTTATTTATTTGCTTGTTTTTTTTTTTTTTTGGTTTGTTTGTTTGTTTGTTTGTTTGTTTTTTTTTGTTTTTTTTTTTGGGGGGGGGGTTGGTTTTTTTGTTTTTTTGTTTTTGTTTTTGTTTTTTTGAAAGCTATCCATTTACAGTAACATCATAACAGAAATCGACTCGGAAATGGTTCATTCGTGACCTGGTAAGTCATTATGAATATATTTTGATAACAATAACTTATTTCATTGTGACGTAGATCCGTTTATTACTGCTGTATGAATCTAACAGTCGAACGAGCTAATCATCGTTTAACAAGTTCCTCAACACAACGCTAAGCATAATCCGACACTACAGTACATTTCCGAAGGCCATTTTATTTCCAAAAGGTGGGTACATTTTATTAAGCAGTTATTTGCTTAGGACTATAATTATATATTGACACTTTCATTGAGAAGGTTTTTGAAATACACTCCCAAAAAGATTGTAGACAGAAAACATTTACTATCCATGTACTATCTAAACATCGTTGGCCGCACCCACCTTCCGTTACCTTTTTGGCCTACCAGAAAAGGGATCATATGTAACGGTTCCTATACGTGAATAACAATGGGATATATCCAGCTTTAGATTTAGAGTGGTTGGGGGATGTCCTTGTAGAAGGTGGGAAGTGTATTTGTCCGTTGATGCCTGCCGATTTTAGCTTCCGATCCTCTTCCGAGAGATCTGGACTTATAAAATAATTGCACTGTATTTTATTCGCCGGCGCGTTTTGCCTGGATAGAGTGTTTTTACCAATATGCCTACTACTTAAAGACCGCTTAGAATAAACCTGTATAACTGGCATAGGCAAATGATCTGGTAGAATTTAACAGTATAATTTAGTAAACAAAGGTTTTGGTAAAATACTTCAATGATTAGTTATTAAAATAATAATCAAATATATATATATACATATATACATATATATATTTTTTTTTTGCATTATGTGGCCGTTTGCTGTTTTATGGGTTCTTACCATAGATGTGTATAAGAGACAGCGGTAGGTGATTGTAGCAGTCTGTGAGACGGACATCTTGGAGCGGAACTGAGACTTAGTAAATTTCCGAAGTCTGCAGCGGTCATCTAAAATTTTGACCACCAGGTATCTATCACGAGATTGAGTTTTGTCTCTGTCTCCATAAAGATATACCAGATCACCGATGCAAATGGTACCGTGACTTGAGGCAGGAGACATAGATCCATGTGCTTTTGATCTGGAACTGGCGGCATGATTGTGAACACGCTGAAAGTGACACTGTTTGAATGAGCTGTCTGTCCTCAAGACTGGAAAGTCCCCGCTAGGAAGCTGACGAGCTAACGAGAGTGGTTTAGACAAGGGTTTCCATTACATCTAGAATGCAATCATCTATTTTTTTTATCACTTTTATTATATTTATGATTGTGGTTATTATACCTATTATTTTTCAAAAATTATCATTGTTTAATAGTTTTTTATTTTTTCTCTATTAGGCCTATTACACTTATTTTTTTTTCACTCGCCATGTCGGATGATACAATATTTTCTAAATTTATTATGTATTCAACCGAATGATTTATAGAGGCATACAGGAAGTAGAAGCGGAATAATTCAAAATCACGTGACGAGGACAGCCAATCATGCAGCTTGTGAATATTCGCTATTTTGTTCCTACAAGTTGTTCGAAAATTGTAAAGTTTGTGTATGCTAGGTTTTGACTTATTCGTTCTAATTAAATAAGGCTGTACTACTATTCACAGATATCTCACTAATTGACACGATCAATAGGAACGTTACAAACCATCGATAACCATGCAGTTTCTACCAAGGGATCAGTGAGTACTGTATTATAATAATTTTACAAACTCTACCCGACGATGAGTGAGTACTCTAGTGTAATAATTTGTATCAGATATACATTAAGTAAATGAGCGAATAGTATAATGTTAAAAGGAGTACAATTATGTACTGACAGACACATTAAAAGTTGTTACTGTAAAGAACTTAATTATAATTATGTGATTATTAAAGTATAGTTAATTTGTTAGCGAAATATCTAATCATTAACATGTTATTTTTTTTTTTTTTTATGGTGATGAGGATAACAGATGATGTCAAGAATTAATATTCATGAGAAACCTGGTTTAGTCAATTACTGTATTTACAATGACATGACAATGAAAAATAATTCATACATTTCCTTGCTTGTTATGTCACAGGAACAAATTAGTACAGGCTATAGTGAGAAACGACTGGCCAGCAGTAACAAACATCCTTGAAAATGAACCTCATCTTATTGAAACTCAGGATGAGGCAAGTACTAAGTTAAATTTATGAAGTGATTTTCTTGATTTCAGAATTTTTATTGGATCATATTTTTAAAATAAGATACAGTTCCAACACAACACAAAGTTCACAATTATTTGCACAAAATATGTGTACCTATTTTCTGGGGTTTTTTATGATTAAAAAAAAATTTAATCTGCCTTACAGAATTGAAAACAAAATTGTCATTCTCTTTAATGACAATTCTTAATTAATTGAAAACTGTGCGGTTTAATATTCAAAACGTTCGCGAAGACTCTACTGAGAACTAAATAAATCGGTCTAGCGCCCTCTCTAGTTCAATATATGTCGTACCAATTGTAATGCGTTTACTGTTGTAATTTTATCATGATTATATGTAGTGTATTATTGCACTTGACTTAGATAGTCAAAATCTATATTAAATTTATATCATTTTTCTTCATTTCAAATGTACCAATTAAAATAATTAACAGCCATGGCTTTAATGGTAATTGTCTCGCATTTATATATTATAGCGCATATTAGACCTTTTCAGAAGTATTTGTATGTAGGCCTGAGGCTATACCTATGAGTGTCCCATATTATAGACTAAAATGCCATTTATTTAAACATTAATCGTGTTTTACTGTAATCAGAGGCTTCAGAATAAGATATTATTGATAAAGATACATAATCAACGGATTAAATCAATAAAAAAAAAAAATGAAATTCCCGATTCCATGCTGAAATTAACCAACCATGAAGATATGCTTATTTACTAATAAAGCTGGATAAATCTTTAACCCGATAAGAACATAACCAGAAATATAATACTGGAGTAAAATAAATTTGAAAAATAACAATCGATAGTACTTAAAAAAAATATCGCTTGATTATTTGAGAATACAAAGTCAAAGAAACAATATTGATGGTTTTTATACAGAAATTTATTATTACTTAATTTAACCATGATTGGTGAATAATATTTGGCCATCTCATAGATGAGGGGTCTATTTGATGTTTTTGTCTTCATACCATTATTCTAATATTGTAACCAATATTATTACTTTACTTAATAAATGGTAAAACTATCTAACGCTGAACACAGCCCGGTATTTAGGTTTCGGGGCTTAAAAATATCTTTATTTTGAGCATTTATTACTATCCTCCACACAATAGCATTCACACTGTACTAAAGAAATATAAAAATTCCCACAATATGTGCTTTTTACAAAGAACCTCGTTTAAAATGCACTATGCTCAATTAAACCACTTTGTCATTCTTGCAAGCCGTGTGACCAATAAACATTTTATTTATATTAGGCCTACAAATTAGTTCGTTAGTTGATAATCTTCCGCATTGATAAGTTTCCCTGATAACTAAAAAAACGAGTCTACCGCCCTCTGTAGTTCAATAATATTTATTTGAACTTGCACTTTTACAATATCGATGGCATTCAATATCAAGATTCAAAATTCAAGATAGATATTATTGTCACATGAAAAAATATACATTAAATTTGCTTTCCCGTACTTATAAAATAAAACAATATAAATACAAAAAACAGTATACAAAGTAATTGAATGAGGCACTATGCGTTCATAAAGCGAAATATAGGATAAAAACGTAAACAATTTTTAATACGACTATATAATAGGTCTATCAATGGATAGTACACATACTTTTCGTTAAGTTGTAAATAAAATAAAAATATCAATAATAATTGGCGATGAATGGTTGTAAGTAAACTTCAGGTCATAAGTAAATAAATCTTATTAGAGGGGTTTGAATTTATAATGTGTTAATTAGATAATTTTTTAATAATATCGTATTGGTTGATTTAAATTGGAAGCTCGTCTCACTCTTCATTTCAAATGTCAAAACTTAAATAATTATCAGTCAGTTGTGGAATGCTTTTCCTGTTTCGTAACACAATAAACCTCGTCTCTGGTGTTTATGTTAATCTAATATAGGTTATTTTAAAATAGCTGTGACAGTCAGTTATTTAAACATAACATGTGATCAAATTATTAATATAGGATTAGTACTATTTTTAAAAATTCATTTAATTAATGGACATTCTTGAGAAATGAAAACGATATCAATAATTAAATGATGTTTATTTACTAATGAATTTTGATAAAATAGTAACCAGAATAAATAAATACATAAGAACTTAATGCAACAACGCAATTTTAGTAACAGTATTATAAGCATAGGCCTATTCCTAGTTATTAAAAATCCAAACACAAAAAATTCCATGTGTTAGCTAAGGCCACATAAAAAATAATTTTTAGTTTATCAACCTATCAACGAATATAAACTGATGAGGGAGGTAGTTTTTTTTTGTTTTTTTTGCATTAGGTTCGTATATATTTATTTATTCTGGTTTATATTTTATCTAAATTCATTAGTAAATACACATTATTTAAATGTTGATTTCATTTTCATTTCTCAAGAAAAAGTCCATTAATTAAATGAATTTTTAAAAATAGTATTATATTAATAATTTGATCACATGTTATGTTTAAATTACTGACTGTCACTGTCAAAAGAATTTTCCCAAAAGTGACGAGGGAGGGGTGATAAACTAATGATTTTTTTTTTCGAGAATATTATTTATTATATTTAAATTACTTACATTGTGTATTTTATTATGTTAAAAGTTTCAATTAAAAAAAACGTTATCTTACAAACGTACAAAAATAATACGTTCTAATATTCTTTGCGTAAACTACTAAACTGGGCATGCGGCATTCTGTCTAGGGACTTTCGTACTAAATGATTTATCTACTCTAATTGTTCCTACTTAGATTTATTTTACTCGTGCTGTTCTTTTTAGTTAATGAGTAGGCATATAAAATTATAAAAAAAATTATTTACACGCGCCGTTGTCAGGTATTCTCCTGTTTTTATAAAATGTTAATACAGAGTTCACGCACGAACAATTTACAAGGCATAGGGCCTACTATACTGTACTGACAAAACATAGACATGCTAATATCATTTTTTTAAATACTAAACACAAACCATGGTCTAACATATATACGTTTATGTTTAGACCTATTCACTGACACAGTACCGTACCTTCTCTTCAAAATAACTTACCAATAATTACATAGTTCACGCACGAACAATTTACAAGTCATAGGGCCTACTATAACACTGTACACAAAACAGAGACATGCTAATAATGTCATACTAAACATAAACCATGCAGTGGCGGATCCAGGAACTTGCAATAGGAGCTGGGTGCCCAGAGAGGGACTTTGACAGATAGAGGGTCTACACCGGAAGGTCCACTGGTTAATCTCAGATAAGATAGTATGATACATACTCCAAGTATCGAAATGCACGCCATCGTGTCGGGATTCAATATTTCGACATTAATTGTGTCATCATCAGGAATGATGACCCCAGCATAATTGGAGCTGAGGTAAGAAAATTTACGATTATGACGGGAAATGGCACTCTGAGACTTAAATTGGAAAATGATTTTCCGTTTTTCTCCAATTCTTTACAATTTTGAAAAATTTAGGGGGGAGGGGGCGAGCCGGCTGAACCCCGACCCTTGAATTCACCACTGGCATGGCCCAACAAATATGAGTTTATGTCTAGACTTATTCACTAATACAGTATTCTACTTCCTTTTCCAATTCACTTATAAAGAATATTACAGTATTTGATGTTCTTATTTTTATTCCTAATTATATGAAAAAAAAATTAAAATTACCAAAAATTGATCGTAAATAAAATTAATAAATGAATTCAAATGAATATGCGTATTATAACACATATTTTTAACTGTTTATAATATAATAATTTTTAAATCATATTGGAATATCATCGTACTATTGAAATAATGAAACTCGTAAAAAATAATATTGGTAGTTGTATGAACTGTATCATAATTCAGTATAATGTTTGTTTTCGTAGGACGACGAGACGCCATTATTGCACGCTGTGATGTTCGGCGCACCAGATTACGTATTAGAGAATATGATTGAAACGGCAACTCCAGATAATTTAGAACATTCGGTGAGTGGAATTAAATATCATTGCATTTTAAACATCACAAGCACACAACATGTGTACACATCATACGACATACAAATAACTCAAATTCAATTTCAGTGATTTATTTCATGTTGGGTTGAAAATGAGACTTTTATTTCATGATTTATTTGACATATTTTACAACACAGAAAAAGCCTATGTTATA